AAATATGTAAATGAGAGTCCCAAAATTGAAATTAATTAAATTCAGAACAAATAGCTTTAATTCATTAAACCAATTGTTTGTAATTCTGTTCATACAGATTAGTATAAGAAGGCCTAGGTTTTTAAAATAATGATGAAAGTATAAGAAGTTGAAATTTCATACAACAACAATTAATGTAGTGTTGTACGTCATGTACTCGTAATTGGAATATTTTAAAGAGGAACTTTTCGATATACAAAATCAATTTCGTTGATTTTGGTTTTAACTTTGATGCTCTATAGACATATTGCATCAAACTTTTATTTTTACATAATTACCAGTACTTCAACTGTAAACATGTCTTTTGTTTTGCTACCTAAGTTTTTTTCCAAAATAGGATTCAATGATGAATCAAAATTTATATTGCATCCCTTTTTAAAATTGAAAGTCTTTATTCCTATACAAACATAACAATATTCACATGTACTCGTACATATGGGTACAAATAAAGTGAATAATTATTCGTAACATCAAAATGTTGCCTTCACATTTTTTATCTTTATTTTATACTTTTGTGGTGTAAGTTTCTGTTGGAAAGTCAAGCGATTTTAATTTTATAAGTATTAAAACCATTTTATAGTTTTTAAGCTATTTTAATCCTTTAATGTAATCTTGATGCTTGTGTTGAACAACCATATTTCAACACTTAGATTTTAACATTGTTTTCATTTGACTTTGAAATTTTTATTTAATTTTAATATTAAAAATGTTTGCAGGCTTTTTTAAACTTTGAAAATGCGTCAATTTATTCATTTATATGTATGTGTTAATTGGGTCATTCGACTAATCTTGAATAACTTTTAAATGACTTGGAAAGTAACATCAATAACTGTAATAATATTTATTCATTATCATTCGGCTCCTTTCGTTGTGTTATAGCATACATGTTCGAAGTAAGCTCACCGAACCAAATGTTTTAGACTTGGTAAAAATAAAAATATTACAAATATCACTCGATTCGAACTACTCATGCGACAGCTGTAGGTGTTGAAACACGAATTCGTTTTCTCTGCACAATTCCATTTTCAACTAAAAATGCGTATAGGGTGCACTTCCCCTTTTTTTTTGGCTTGTAACTCTGTTCTTATTCATCGAAATCATTACTTTTTTTTGTGTCGTAACAACTGAAAGGACATTATACCGTTGTATAATGTATTTTATTTTTTGTTTAAAAAACTTGTAGCACTTAAAAAAAAAATTTAAAATTTGGGATAAAATTTTAACGACCATGTTTTTCAAAATGTTCTAGAATCATATATGAAATTTTCACAATTCAGAAGGGAAGAACTTTATTTAAATGAAGAGAAGGGCTCAAATTAAATTTAAGGGGTATATTTTAATCGTGGAATTTATGTAAAGTGTACTTAGAAAAGTTGTATGAAATGGTTGTCCAATTTCTCTTATTAATATAATATAGAGATTTTAATCTGGAAAAAAAAACATTTTTTATTATTCACATATAGAATGTAATATGTATATGTCAAGGATTAAATTAAATTGTAATTGCGTGATTGTATTAAAATCACATATAAACCTCTTAAATTCTATTAATATATAGGATTTTATTGTGTTTGCATAACTTTGTATATGAACTATAGCAATTAAGATTTAGTACATATACATACATGTTCATATACAAATAAATATTAATTTTATAACAAAATTTCAATTTACACGCCTTCTCTAATTTTCATGTGCAAATCATAACAATAATAATTCAATATTCAAAACATGTAAATCAAGAGAGTAAACAGAAAATGAATATTAAGTCAGTGTGTCAAGAATTTTGAAATTTACCGAGTCGAGAACCTGATTTATATTAAAGTGTTAGGATAAAACAAAAAAAATCAATGTAAAGTAAAAGAAAACGCGCAATTGTCAGATTTATAAAGTTGTGTATACTCATTTATTGTTTATTATAAAAAGCGCATTTTGTAAATTATTTTTGATCGGATAGCAAAATGCCACCAATATAAAATTTATTTTCACATAATGTTGATGCATTTAATATGTTTGTTTTGTGAGGGAGTTTCGTATACATATAGAGAATTACAAGCACGTACAAATTCATATTTGTGTTGAATGTAAATTTTTTACAATTGATTTATTCATGTTCTGAAATTAATAAATAAATTATGTCAACTTTTGACATTATGTACAAACATATCTGTTGAATGGGAAAAAATTTATGTACATTATATTTATTTTTTCCATTTGCTATTTCTTTCCTTTTTACCAAATCTTCTCTATTATGCGCTCGAAAAGTGCAGCTTCCAGACTAGGATCAGCCCTGAGAAGATCAATCCGCACGCAGTCTATACCCGCGGCCTTGTTGTGCTTCAATCTGATGATTGTGTCCCTTATTCTTTTTGGGATGGAGGTCAGCTGCTAAAGTGACCGATATTGATGTAACCTTCTGGTTCGCTTTAGGAACTCAATTCATTTGTTTCATCGAAATGTTATATCCATTTTGCAAGTTGATCTTGTGTGTCGAATTGCATAGTTCTCACGTTTCTGAGTTTTTATTTTATTGGAGTTGCATGTGGAGCCCACGCCGGACCTCAATTTTTTCCCACGTTTCGTTCGATATTCACATCTTCTCAGGGCATAGTATACCTAATATGAGCTCACCTAATTACCTGTATGTGTTTTGTTTGTTTTTTGCATCTATATTCTTTATTTCGTCTGTTGATTTTGATATAAATTCCCGCTTTATGTCTGTGTTATTCAGTTTTTGTGTTTCAATATTTTTCTTTCTTGTGGAGATATTCTGAGCCGTTATAGCCGCGGGTTTTATTTGTGTTACTGCTATGATCAGCACGTGGTCACTGCGTATGACAGCCTCCCCTTCACGTCCTGCTGGCGAAAAGCGAGTGTTTTTATCGTCGGCTCATTTAAATTTCTATTGGTCTATTTGATTTTTGGTTCTGCCGTCAGGTGAAACCCATGTGTATTTATGTATAGTCTTATGCGGGAAGATGGTTCCGCCAATTATCATGCAGTGTCCTTAACATATTTCTGCCTGCTTTCGTTGTTGTTAAGGGCCCCAGAGTTTTATTGTTATTAACGTATAATAAACGTTCAGAAGCAATTAAATAAGTATTTTTTTCAACGGCGTAAAAATGTGTGGTGTATAAAACCTTTAATCATTTAAATACGTGCAAACACTATATAAAACTCTACAGTACATAATTTTTTGAATAATGTTAAAAAATTCATTAATAAAAATATTTTAAGAATTAAAAACATTTTTGCGGAAATAGTAAACATACTGTAATTAAAAAAAAATATAGCCTAAAAATTTACATTTTCCATGACGTTCCCATTGTCTTAGTCATTACTATTTTAAATTCTTTACTGTTGTTCTATTTTTGACCTTCAAAGCATCTCTTTTCTATTCTAATAAGTTAATTGTTCATCAAATTTAGTTTTTTTAATGTTACTCAATTAATATTCATTCAAGCACAATTCATAAAATGTAAATATTACTTGATTGTATATTTTGTGAATGCGATGTATGTACAATTTTGCCTACATCCTCGCTTGCAGCCTACTTTTATTCAAGATGATGTTTGATATTCTTTCTTGTTTCATTTTCAATTAAATAAAATCGTGAATTTGGCAAACACTTACCTTTCATATATACCTATAGTTGACCGCATCTATCGCCCAATCATCATTATTTATTTATTATTACGCCTAGAGTATAGAAATTTTATATTATGAAAAATGGTTGTTTGTTGATTATTCGTTGATCATATTATTTTAAATTAATTTTTTTTTATAAAATTGAAAGCGATTTCTTTTTTAATTTAATTTTTTTCACTTTGTATAACATAAAATTATGTTTTGTTTGTATTCTGGTATATTTTTTGTCCCAAAGTTGAAATTTGGCAGTGCATATTATACTAAAGGAACCTGTTATGGTTTCTTATTTGATTATATTAAAACTAGCGTTTTTATTTTTCTATTGCAGTACTCTAACACACTCATTAATCAACAATTTGTTTTACTTCTTGATGTACAAACTTCAAACATTGAAGATAACAAATGGTATTTTTGGGTGACATGAATGAATGAAAGATTGTATACGAGTGCTGAAATTGTATACGAGTGCAAATTTACAGAAGCCTGGTAAGCATAAGTTTTCACTCAATTTATAAATTACTTTGATTACTTAAAATGTGTTTTAATTTTGTGATTACAAAATATATTTGTTTTGTAATTTGCAACAAAAAAAAATTGCTTAAATAATTTTACATTTTTAGTTCAAACTTCACATAGAATCCTTTATTTCTAAATTAGATTGAAATTTTTTAATATTCATTTCTTTGAATTCGATGAACCAATTCTTGCCGTGGATGTTAGATTGTGAATTCATGTTGAATTTGAGAATTTAATGTTGAATAATACAATAAATGAGTAGTAGATAAACTTACAAAAATTTTACGAACTACTTCAAAAAAAGAACGGTGCTTTTTTAATTACAGAATTACTTTCTTTACGTACTGACCTCATGTTAAGCACGGCAGTGGCTTAACTATAAAACAATAAAAATGAATATTAAATTAAAACGAATACATATTTGCAAACAAAAACGAAAAGTTTTAGAAATTGGGAATTAATATTTAATTTATTCACATTAAAAAGAATTATCATTACAAATCAAGCTAAAACCCAACGACACAACAAACACAATTAAATAATGAATTCACTTTATTAAACGATTTGTTTTATTTTGTTTTAAAGCAACCAAAACCTAGTATATCAAACATGTTCTTCCAACATTAATCATACAATTACTTGGTAAAAAAAGAAAGAAAACAATTTGTGTACAATGAAATTGAATTCAGGGAAAATTTCATACTCAACATTCCAACCTTTTGTTTAGTCTTATCTAAAACATTGTTGAGTTCGGTTGTATTTTGCGGTAATAGGGAAATGTAAGATCAATGTTTTTTTTTTATATTAATTTTTTTTCTTATTAAATTATGGTTTTAATTCAGATATGCGGTAATAAAAGTTATAGAAAGTGTTTAAGTCTATGATACTCAAATTACTGAAAATTTTGTTTTTATTTCAAATTTGCTATAACACTTGTGAAACTGGAATAAACCACAAAAAGTTATCGAAATTTACTTTTATAATTTTTTGTTAATTAAATTATTCTTATAATGCAAAAAACATTTCCAAAAATTTATAAAAAATAATGTTATATAAGAAATGATTAAATAGAATTTATTTTGTATTTCTTTAAAGAAATGTTTAATAAATGTAATCATTTAGAATAAAAGTGAATATTTGTGAATCTTGACCTTTAAGTGTTAGTGCATAATTTTTTATTATAAAATAATTTATTAATAATATTTATAATTCAAAAGTTTTGAAATATTCAATAAAAAAATTGGTGATAAAAAATAAGACAAGGAATCAATTTATACAGAAAGGATAAAACTTATTCGATTTCCGGAATTAATTTGTTGGTTTTAATGGGTCCGTGTTTATTGTATTTAATTTTCGATTACATTTAAAATGAGTGATTATTTTTTACATGTCCATTATATAACAACTGGATCAAATTTATTATTTTCGTATTTTGTACTCTTTAATAACAAAGTGAAATCCGTACAATTATAGTTTTTAAATTAGTGTTTATTCAATTTTTAGAATATTTTGCTTCAGCTCTTAAAAAATAAAATTCTTTTTTTTTTATTGTATTTTATTTAGATCGGCCTACCAATAGAGCTGGAATACAAAGAATCAAAGTAGTGTTTATTTTTTATTGTTAATGTTGAAATAAAAAAAAAAGTAAAACAAGAGAAAAAAAATTAAGTGCATCAACAAAAACAAAAAAAAGAGAAAAAAGGTTTTCTGTGTTCTTTTTTATTTTATCTTTCAACTACAGGATAATAAAAAAAAAAGTGAACATAATAGATTGTTAGAGAAATCTATTATTTTTTTTGGGTAACACAAAATATTCAAAGGGAAACAAGAAATTGTATAGGGATTAAAAGGAAACATTTCAGAATTTTTAGATTTATTTTATCATTGTTCAACATCAAAAAGGGAGAGCATAAAGAGAAAAAAAACACAAAAACTTACAAATTTGTGGAATAATATTTGAATTCTGATAAGGATATCCTGTTGGAATAAATGGATTTTTAATACAGGTAAGTTAAATTTAAATAAAAATTAAAATATAAATTTTTTTACTTGTATCATTCAAATAAAAATGCAAACAGAATAAAGTTACCATAATAATTATGCGATTCAAAAATCATATACTTAACGGCAACCGCCTACGATCATTCACGTTCAATGTAAATATAAGCATTTTGATCCGTTTATGTTTTTTTGTTTAGTATGAACCAACAAATTCATATAAACGTGTAACCAAAAGAAAGGCTTCTAGATATTTTTTGAATGCTGAATAGTAGTGTATATACACAAAGAAATTCTCTTCTAGGAATGGATAAACCTTTTAGAAATCCGGCGCATAAAATTTTTAAAGGGCTCGACTAAAACACATTATTAAAGATATCATATCTTTCGATGTATGCTGCATACATCGGAAAATTTATCTCGCTATGAAAAATCATCAGTTCATAGTGAAAATTGTACTAGATGAAAAATTTGGAAATACATAGAATTACAATACATATACGTATATGTATATACTATAGTAAATTTATAATTATGTATATACATAGAATCAAAATTTTGTAAACAGATCAAAGAATTTCTTCAACAAGTCCATTAGAAATAAAAGAGTTTTGAAATTGCCGATAGACTCGGGACACTTTCAAAATAAAACGTCGAATTAATGATTTTATTGCTTAAAATCATAATAAAATCATCTTTACTTCAATATTCAACAGAAATAATAATTTATTTGTAATAAATCAACAAAATTTTTTAATAAGTATGACATTAAATTTTTAAATACTCTATTAAACTTCTGATTAATTTATTGAATGTAGTATACTGTGTCAGAAAAATTTCATATAAAAATAAATGTTTTCTCATAAATTAATAACACATATGTATATATATATATATACAACTAATATTCATATTGTAATAAAATAATATAGTTATGTTATCTGTCTGAAACTATCTTTAACATCACTTAAGAAGTCATTTATATGTCCAACAAGTGATTTATAATATTTTGATTAGAAACTCCTTGTGATACGATCTTTGTATACGAGTATAATTTTCAAAATAAATAAATAATTTTTATGAAACTTTGATTGGAAAAATGTCTGTATTAATAAGGTAACATACCTATATATATAAGGTAACATACCTATATATAAGCTAGCAAATATAACATACCTATATATATACTCGTATATACAATAGTATATAATAAAAACATCATGTTATAAATTTAAATTAAACAAAAATAAAATTTATTAAAATTTGTTAATTTTTTTTTTTTCTTTTGTATTCAAAAGACCAAAGATCTTTAATAATCTCCTTACAATCTAAAATACTAACGATCATAATTTCAATATATAAAAATCATCATCAAAACTTTTGCTAATATAGAAAATATAAAATACCTAACACTAATAAAGTCAATGGTAAATTCAACAGCAAAAAAAAAATTATTTATTTTGCATAAATTTTACATAAATTTTATGTTTTGAAACACCATCTTTGTATGGAAGATACCATTATAGTTCGGTTTTTCATATTTTTGGTTATTAATTATCGATTATATTATTTGTGGTATAGACAACAAAAAAAAAGTTATATATTTATATAGTTTTATTATTAATATTGGTTGAATTGTAAACATTTCTTTTTGGAAACGACCACGAAAAAATATTACAATAATTTAAAATCAATTTTTTTCTTAAATACTTTTGAAATGTGGTCACTTATAACAACTAGACTATCGTAATCACGAATTTCAGTTCAATTTTTACTCAAACGTATGCAATACTTTTAAAATACTATTTGTTGAATAAATGCATTTTTTTGTATAAATAAATTTTTTGGCTTTTTGACCAAATTTTTGCAAATTTCCAAGCTTTAAATAGATATTTCCAGGTTTCCAAGGATATCCATTACATCTGTGTACCTTTCCTGTGGTTAAGCTACAAATCGCAGTTAAATTTTTCCAAAACAGACTAAAATATCGTTTTCTCACTTCATATACCATATGCACTAATATATACTAGTATACAGAAGATAATAAGTGTAGACTTATACTTAACATTTTATACTTTTTTTTATATTATATTAATCCTAACTGATAAAACCCAACTGAAAAATACCTAAACCAAATACTTAATAACAATAATTAAAATTAATCATTTCGACATCATTTCAATCATTGTCAAAATCTACAAGTTATTATAAAAAAAAACTAAAGTTTGTAATTTAAAATCGAACTAAGGAAATTTAAAATTAAAATAAATAGATATTATGGCTTTTGTTACAAAAATACAGAAATAGAAATGTAGGTGTAGGTTAGGTATCAAAAATAGATGAAGAAATGTTTAATCCAAAATTGGTGGAAAATATTTTCTGTTACATTGCTAGATTATCTTTTTAAGGGATTGATTGAAAAATTCATTTTTAATGTTAATTTTAGAAGCCATCTGAATATTTTTTTGGATATGATTATTAGTTATTTTTTTTTTGAATTATCTTTATTGACTTTAAGTTGTGGGGAAGACTAAAATAAATAATAGAAGGTTATTATTGTAAACGAAGGTAGTTATTTGCATGTTAATCATGAAAAACGTGAATTATAAAAAAGAATATACCACATATTTTCAACATTTTCGTTAAGATTCTATAAAGATATAAAAAATTGAAGTGCATATCATATAACGACTGCATAAACTTATGCGATTATTAACGTTAATTGAAAAAATGCTATTAATTTTTTAGTTTTAATTACCGAACTCAGTATTTGCCCAACAATAAGCTAGCAAGTGATGTTATTTTATTGTTGTTTCTTTTCATTTGAACTTTAAAATTGATGTATCTTCATTTACATTTCCGGTTAAAAGCGAATTCATTCAAAGTTCCAATTCAAGCGTTTTTCTTATACAAATCTCAATTTATTGTTCAGTTGATGATTTGCATTAACATAAAATGTAAAAAAATTGTGATTGATTTGCATAATGTACTTGAAATATTAATTCTGATTTTCTCTTTCCACTTGAGTTCAATATAGATTTTTTGAGTTTCTCAGCAAAATTAACCAACTATTTTGTAGGTTTTTCTCTAAATTTTAATCCATTTTATAGGAATGTTAATAATTTTTCATCTTTTTTTTTTTGTTTCAATTGTTAATGATACGCACAAGTGTGATAGGAGAAAACATTTAAATATTTTTAATAATTGAAAAAAATTCTTGTAAAAGTCATGATAATGACCTTGACTTCTAGGAATTACTAAATTAGTTCCGATTCAGTAAAATTATACTACATTTTGTTATATAGACAAATTTTTTGTATTTTTTTGGATTTAACATTTCAGTATTTACCGTGAAGGTGAAACTGATTTGTGATAGACAATGACTAATTTGTTTATGCGGATTAAAATATCATTAAAAATTCATTAAATCTATTTTGTTAGCTTGAAATATTTGTAGCATTACTAAAATGATTTTGCACATTTAAGAACATTTTATTAAGTCTTCCGAAATAAGTAAGTATATGCAAGAGATATTTTTACTTATGTCAAAATATTTTTATTTAAAGAGTGTTAACAATCAAGTTTTGTAATTGAAAAGAATAAGGTGACTAAAATTTAATTAACTTGCAAAATTTAACAATAAAGTTCTTAAAAAATTTTTTTAAACTTTTAATATGGTATAAAGCAATTTTTACTTGTACATATTCAGGCAGCGCATGTATTTATTTAAATATGTTTTTTTATACATATAGATTTAAGCTTTAATGGTACAGGAGTAAAGCGCAAAACAGAATTTGTATGAAGAAATGTACTTGAATTATTGTTACTTAATAAAGTTTATGTATGCAGGAACGTAATAACACTAGCTTTTTCAAAAGGTCAATGAACTGAAGACATCCTTTAAAAAAATTGTAAAATAAGTTAAATTTTTGGATTAAATTCGATGGTAAACTAAATGATTCGGAATTCGTACTGAAGAGACTCCGAAGGATGTTCAAAAATGAAAGAAAATGTCAAACCCGAGAAAATTTTATAGCCTCAGAGAAGCAAGAATTCGGCGGACTTTCTGTGTACTAATATTCGTATGTGGAAAGCTATTCGGACCGGACTGCCATAGTTATGTTGAAAATATCCTATCGACTAGATGTGTAAACGTGGGTATATGGCAATATTGAGTTTTACGACGATTGAAACGTTAAGTGTGCGATTAAAGAAAATGAAGAAATTTTATACTTTGCCGGAGAATCTCTTGCATTGGCTAGACGGATTCAAATCAGAGATATTTCATTTTCATATATTTCGGAATATGATTATTGTCGTTATTCGAACCTCCTCGGCGCTTTCCGTTATATATTTTTTTAGAGTTATAGCTTTCTCTTTTATGAGGCAATTAAGAACTTAATCAATTCGTCAGTATTTCCTTTCCATATTATGCGATTTTTATATTTTTAACCCCCATGAAAACATTTCTATTTTGGTAACCCATAGTTATGCTATACTTATGTATGTATAGCATGTATGTATATATATTATTTATACAATGCTGTACTTATGTATGTATGTATGTCAAATGTAAAAATATTTTTTACATATTTTATTATATCCAAATTGAATTTCCTGTTTGTTAGGAAAAAAATTTCAACTATAAAGCGTGGAGTAGTTTGAAAAATAGTTTTCGCCCTTTAAATATGAAATGAAATTGCATTTATAACACATTTTCTCAGTTCAAATTTATGACAATGAAACTTTCGAAAATGTAAAAAATAAACTCAGACACTTATGATCACTTGTAAAATTTAAATATTTTTTTTTCTTTTTCTTTCCTAGTTTTGTTAATGTACAAATTTTCAACCGGCAAAATAATAACTGGTTGCATTGAAATGTTATTTACCTTATTGATCACGAATTTCATACATACATAAAAAAACTGTTAAATCAGCAGGTGGTTTTTTTTAACCATATTGTGACTAAGTAATTCAATCGTGGGAAAAAAACTTCTTTTACTCTG